AAAAAATATTTTAAAGAGTTAAAATAAAGTAAAAAAAAGGTTGGGTTTTGTTTAAAAGTATTGGAGTTTAATATTAGGTTAAAATTAAAAATAAGTAATTTTTTTATTTTAAATTTTATAATAAAAAATAATTCTTTTATATATTATCTCAATAAAAAGTAAAAAAAAGGTTGGGTTTTGTTTAAAAGTATTGGAGTTTAATATTAGGTTAAAATTAAAAATAAGTAATTCTTTTAATTTTAATTTTATAATAAAAAATAATTCTTTTATATATTATCTCAACTCAATATGTATCATATATGTTTTAAATTTAGAGCACTAAATTATTTATGTCATTAAAAAAATAATCAATATAACTTATAATTATGAGTTAAATATATAAACTAAAATGAAAACTAATCAATTTTTTATTTTTTAATGTTTCACAAAGAACGAATCTCCAAAGATGCTCAGCCAGAGAATATGCCGCGTACAGAACCGCAGAAATCCAGGGGAAATCGCCCTCTATTTGTATTTTAATTTCATTTTTAAATAGTTTGTTCTTCCCGTGATTTATGTCGCATTTCAATATAAGATGATACGCCTCACATCACCCAAGTGATATCATACTTTGAGTGCATTTATATGCTGGTCTCCTAAGCAAGGTTCTAGGTAATTAAAATGAAAATCTCCACTAGTTTCCCCAAGTCTTTCTTAATTTTATATTCTTTCATTTTAAGGTCTGTGTTGACTTCCACGGAATTGATCTCTTTTATTATTATTATTATTATTTTTAATTTGTAAAATAACCGTTTGAAGCACCCAAGAATTACTAGTAAACGAGTTTTATTTTATAAGTTATGTCTATTGTTTAAGTTTTGGAATTAAAATTTTATAAAATTAATTTTTTAAATGTATTATAGATCAATTAAGATATGTCATTAAAATCATTAAAAAAATTAATTCTAAAGTATATAATAATTAAGTTAAAAACACTCTTATTATCCGAATTCAAAAAAAGGAAAAAAAAAAAAAGATTGTTCCTTAAGTTTCGTAGCCTTGCCTTAAATAATATCGTTGGAAATATACCATCTCTGATTTTATACCGTCTCTTATAAAAATTATCTTTAAAAAAGATAAAGATAAAGAGATGCTCCATCCATTCAACCTTCTTTTATATGCATACTAGAGATTTTTTTTTTTTCTTTGGTTTTTATCTTGCTTACACAATGAGAAGCAACTATCTTTCATTGCTTATTTTACCCCATTAATATATTATGCAAATCGAATTCAGAATTTCTTATTTTTAATAAAAAAAGATAATTACTGAATTATTTAAGTCGTTGACTATATGCATACTAAAGATTAAATTATAAATCTAGCGTTAAAAATATAAGTAATTTTATTACGAAACCACATAATCAATGGTCTCTCCATTAGTAAGCCTAGTTTTTTAAAATAGAGATGTAATTATATATTTATAAAATTTTATATTTATCACTATTTAAGTACTCCTTTTGTTTATTTTTAATAGTTTTAATTCGACTTTTTTATTTTTTAAATTTAAATTTTACATAAAAATTTAATATATTATATAAATGATAATTAAATTTTTTTATTAAATAAATGTACTCAATAAAAATTAAAAATTTCATGTTGAAAGAAACTTTTTAGTTATTGTTTATATGAATTGTTAAATTTTCATTTGAAATTCATACACAAAATGTTAAAAAGTTAAATTAAATTTATTAAAAATAAACAAAAAGAGTACCACTTAAATATAATTTTTTATTTAATATATATTATAATGATTTTTTAAAACGAATGTAAAATAGAAATACATATATTAACTAATAACTTATAAAACTAAAAATTGAGAATTAAATTTAAACACCTTAAATTAGAAATTAAGTCTACTAATATTCAATGGAGGAAGTATTTTTTATAATACAATGGATATGTAAAGCCAATAAATAATGATAAAATTAAAAAAATATATATCGTGTTCAATAAAATATGAAAATATCACTATTAATTTTCATTAATTTACGACAAATTTTAAATTAGAAAGCACTATCAATCATATTAATCGTTTCATCTAAGAGGGAGGAGTAATAAATAAGAGAGAAAACTGAGCTTTCCATACCCAAGGCTAGTTAATTTCTGTATAGAAAAATGAGATGCCAGCACACGATGCTTAACGTACGTCACTGGTTACGTCCATATGGCCTGTATAAATACACAAGAAACAGAGGTGAAAGCAACCAGCGACCATGAGAGGGGGGGTTGCAGAAGATTCAAGGCTGGAAGTGCCAGTATACGAGCTAAATCAATCCAGAAGTCCAAACCCTCTTCTTGTAATTTCCACTGAATCCGGCTCCAACTTCACCAAGGAAGCCACCGTGAATGGCTTACATGATTCAAGGAACCCTGTGGGGTCGGAGCTCAGTGCACTTGAAGCTTGGCTTCCTATTACAGAATCTAGAAATGGGAGTGTACATTCTGGAGTCCTTCATGTTTTGTGCTCAGGAATAGGATTCCAGGCCCTTTTGCTTCCTGTAGCATTGGCAACTCTTGGATGGTACTGATTTTTTTTTTTCATTATTGTTCTCATTTTATTTATTTCTCTCTAAGTCAATTCAATTTTTGAACAATTCTAACTGGTGCAGGGCATGGGGGACTGTATGCTTGTTAGCGGCATATGCATGGCAGCTCTATACCATATGGCTTCTAGTTCACCTTCACGAGCCAGCCCCTGGAACCCGTCATAGCCGCTACCTCCGCCTTTCAATCGCTGCCTTTGGTTGGTGCAATCCTTTTCCTAAGCCATCTTCTTCACTAAATTCCATTCTGCCTAAAGAAAATATCTAATGCATCCATATGTCCCAGGTCTAAAGCTAGGGAAATTGCTCGCAATTTTCCCTGTAATGTACCTATCTGGAGGTTCCTGTGTTATGCTGATCATTACAGGAGGGGGCGTATTGAATCAAATTATCAAGATCATGAGTGGAGATGAGGCTAAGTCGTTGACCGGAACAGAGTGTTTCTTGGTGTTCACTTGCATAGCCATGGTTATAGCTCAAATATTTCCCAATTTGAATTCACTAGCTAGTGTCTCCCTTACTGGAGCCATTTCTGCAATTGGATATTGTACTCTAATATGGGTTCTCTCCCTCAGTAAAGGAAGGCCTGAGGGCATCTCTCATGACACATCTAGTGTGGAAAAATCTGGTATGAGGGGATTTGTGAACATCATGAATGCTATTGGAATTATTGTACTTGTATTCAGAGGTCATAATCTTGTGCTTGAAATTGAGGTGAATTTTGTAGCAATTTAAGTCCAATTTGTTTCCTCTTGATAAAATGTTCATTGATGAGAAATGCTTATGCTGATGTAGGGAACATTACCTTCTACTCCAAGGCACCCGGCATTTGAACTAATGTGGAGAGGAGTAACGATTTCCTACATTATAATAGCAATGTGTTTATTTCCACTTGCAATAGCTGGATTTTGGGCTTATGGAAATGGGGTAAGCAAAATGTTCTTGCTAATCGTCTCGAATTTTTGCGGATGAATAACAATTTCCTTCAATTTCTTTCAAGGTACCTACAACTTTAGGGACCTTAAATGCATTTTTGCAGCGTCAAGAAGAGGATACATCAAAATATGTGATAGGCTTAATCTGCCTATTGCTGGTTATAAGTTGCTTGTGCTCATACCAAATTTATGCCATGCCAGTTTTTGACAACCTAGAGTTAATCTACATTAGCAAGAAGAACAAGCCATGCTCAAGGTTGATTCGCGCTGGTTTGCACCTTTTCTTCGGAGGACTGACATTCTTTATAGCAGTGACTTTTCCCTTTTTGGGAAGCTTAGCTGTTCTAATTGGAGGAATCACATCACCACTGACGTATGCCTATCCATGTTTCATGTGGAATTCAATCAAGAGGCCTCAAAAGAATGGTGCCATTTGGTGTGTTAACATAGGACTAGGATGGTTAGGAATTGTTTTGAGCATGTTGTTAGTAGTTGCAGCTTCATGGAACTTAGCTGACAAAGGCTTGATTGCCAACTTTTTCAAGCCTTAATCACATATGCAGAAGAAAATATCACAGATTGTGTTTGAAATCAAAGGGGTCACTTTTTCAAAATATCCATAAAGATTTCATGTTAAGAACATTTCCTTGTATCCAAATCTAACACAATTGCAGACTAATTTTCCGAAAAATATCTGCTCAAACAAGGCTCATTTAATGTTGTGGACATTGATGGTTTTGCCAAGAAATACTTGGGCCTTGATATGCCCGAGAGTATACTTCTATTTTAATTAAAAAATTGAAAATAAAAATTGGAGAGAATTAATAAATTAAGGTGAGAAAAGAAAAAAATTAAGATATCTTAATATTTTAAATATTAAATTTTTTATAAAATTAATTAAATATCTTTAATAAATCTCTTTTATATATTAATTTATTAAAAATATTTAAATACTTTTATAAAAAATCTTGTCATTTTAATTATCAAGACATATTAATTTTTTGGTTATCTCAAATTATATTAAAAAAAGAAAAAGGAAAAAACAGGGTTTGTGCAAATAGCATTCCTCACATCTGCAACAAATAAAATATTAAAAAAATGATTAAATGAGCCAGTCTTTAGCTATGTAGATAGAAAGTTATTAATGGACCTGCTAAATAAAAATGTAAATCGATCTGTTGTAAAGAAGCCCAACAAAAACCCACTATTTTTGTGGTCAAAACTAAAACGCACCCTTCTACTTGAAAAATAAAATAAAAATTGGGGACGCTTGTCTTGTGGCGTACCCAGTGCACTAGATCAACTTTACGTCTTCTTCTCTAAAACTACCGATCATGTTCCGATAGGGGTCAGCTGGACTGCAATAACTAAATCCACTGAGGTATTACTTTTCATCTATTATTACTTTTTTGGTATTTGGGCTCAGGCATGGTAGATTGGAATGCATTTTGTTCATGTTTTGTTGTATTTTCTCTGCTCCTATTCATTCATGGATTTTCCGTTTTTTCAGCGCGTAACAGGAAAATTTCCTGCGAAACTGTTTTTCGGTAAGCTTCTTCTTCTCGTTCTCCTTTCCTTTGTTTAGTAATCTACTTTGTGCATTTTAGGAGTGCTGTCAAGATAATTTAATGGCGTTGTCTTCTGTGAAATCTGAAATTTTTTGTGAGGGGGAGTCAGTGGGAGTTTTTGTTGACAGATTCAGCAGTCTTCTGGTCAAGATAGCATACCACATTCTTAGTTTTCTCGATGTGGTAGACCTTTCTCAGTTGATGTTAGTCTCCAAAAGATGTAAGCAGTTTTGCATGTCTGCCCCTGTCTTGTGGCTTGATAACAGCGAACATACTAGTGAATAGGCCTCTCTAAAACGATATATGCTTTTGGTGGACAACTTTTTGTCCATTCGACAGCGAACTGGGACGAAGGTTTGTCAGTTTAACTTCACTTGGAAATGGCTAAGGCAATTTTTTGAAGAGATAGAGACAACTGAAAAAGGGAAAAGGAAGAGAATGCACTATGATTTTGAATTATTTTCACAAGTTCATCAATACTTTTTGAAGACTGTCTCCTGTTGTGGCACTGAGTCTCTCAATCTGAGTTTCATCTCAACAGAGCTTGAGCCTCAACGGCTTCATCCTTTGTTCTTTGATCTCACTTGCAATTTGAAGGAGCTTACAGTGCACACTAACAATTGCAGTCTTGGCATTTGTGACACAATGTTATGTACATCCCCAAAGCTAGAGAAGCTGACATTGTTGTCTAGTAAACTTAATGATAGGGAAATTTTTTTTATGGTTTATTGTCTCCCTTCACTTAAGTCACTGTGTCTTCATTCCTGCACTGGGTTAAAGAAGCTTGCTCTGAAAAGCTCATCTCTGGAGCATCTGAGAATCATTAATGAGAAAGTGGTTGAGCTTGAAGAGATTGTCATCCACTGTCCTCTTCAGACACAATTTGTCATGTGGTATCCCTATCCTGATGCTAGCCCTGCATTCCGAGTAGTTTTATCTCAACTCAAGGAGTTTGTGTGGCATGGTTTTCCTTTGGGATATTATTTTTCTCTTCAGTCCATTCATCTACAAAATGCTTCTGTTCATCTCGTCCTGCCTACAAAACGGGCCCTATGGGAACTATCTCAAGCTTCCATGGATTTGCTGGATGCTGTTATTGATCAGTTAAAGACAACCAAATCCCTAACGTGTCATGGCAACGCTATCTGGGTATGTGTATGATATTTATAAACTCTACAGGTTTTTATTTTACGTTTCAAATTCTAGTAATTTATATGTATCCTTTTCTGCCTGAGTCATGATGTGTGCTCTCACATATGCAAATAAAAGGACATACACAAGGATGCATGTCATTGAAGCATATACTCAACTGGGTCGTTGTCAAAGAAGAAGTAAGAACAACGGCTGCATGTTTCCTCTAAAAGAAGTTGAATTGATGTGATAGTAAAGTAATTTCTTGCTTTGCTAATAAGTGAATAAGATGCAAAAAACTTCATCATATTCCTTCTATATAAATGACAGTGATTCTCTCTTTTTCTTTTTGTTTTGTATTTCTATGCTTTGCTTTATTTGGAACTAGTGTTTTAATACCCAGCCCTTTGACCAACCTGTTTAAGTTGGAAATCTCTATGGAACTTTTATTTGAGTTTCTGTAGCAAAAATTTTTGTTATAAAGATGGCACACAAGGTTAGAATTTGCTGATTGTTAAGATTTTTCGTGGTAAGAAGGGGGTTTGAGAGAGGACTAGGAGGAGAAGGAGACACACCCGGAGTTCCCTCTTTTAGTGAGGTGAAAACTCATTTTTTTTCATTCATTTTCTGCCATTATATAGCAGAAATCATTTAATACATTAACAGTAATTTTCTCACCTAATATTTTCCTAATACAAGAAAATTTATTAAACATTTAATGCAAAATTACATTCAAAGATTTACTGCCATTTGCGCGGCTCCATGTTGCTGTACTTTGCTGCTACTTTGCAGCCTTTCATTTGCATTTGCATTTGCATTTCATTTGCTGTTCATTACAGCCCCATTTCATCTACATTTGCAGCTTAGATTGCTGCACTTTGCTGCTACCGTGCTGTTGGTGGAGCTCTCCCTTCTTTTCATTTGCTGCCACTTGTGCTGCTTTGTTTTCATTTGCTGTCACTTGTGCAACTTTGACACCACAGCTCCAACAGTACTCTTTCACGTCTCACTCTACTATTTTGTCTTCCTTGCAGCTTTTCCATATGAAAAATTGCTGCTTGTCCCCATTAAGCAAAGTAGAGAGTCTCGCTATAGAATATTGCACTTTAACTGATAAACTAGTACCTCGAATTGCTTCTTTTTTGCAAGGAATGCTTGCTTTGAAGTCTCTCTCTATAACATCATGTCTTCCAAAAAAGTGGTTATGTTTGTAACACCATCTATGTATTTTTAGTTCTTTATTTTTTTATTGGATAATTATCTATGTAGTTCATTGAGATCCATTCATTACTTGCCTTAGAATTAGGTTTAATTTGTGAGAAAAGATGTTCCATGGAGATGTACTTGTGGCACTCTTGTGTTTACTCTCCTCTTTCACCTCTCAACGCTAAGGGCTGTCATTTGTTTACTTTTTGCTTTTCTCAAGGTGGAAAAATTTGTGGAAGAATTTGGGTCATCCATGGAAGGGTCAACAGGGTTCAATATGGAATTCTGGGAAACACAGGGTCTCAAATTTGTTCCTCAGCTGAAAACTGCAACCATCGAAGTTCATTTAGGAAACGGTGTAGAACTTGTGAAGTATCTACTCAAGCATGGCAGAGCTTTGGAAACCTTGGACATCCAGTGTTTTCCAGGGAAGGAGTCACGCATCTTGAAGGAGATCAGCGGGTGTAAAAGTCAATCAACGACTGTCCTTTTTAGCTCAATAGGAAAGGTGAAGATATTTTGTGAAAGATTATTCTGGAACTGTGTTAGATTTGGATATTAGGAAATATTCTTAACTTAAATCATTATGGATATTTTGAAAAAGTGACAACTTTGATGTCAAATACTATCTATGATTTTGTTGTGTTTGTGATTAAGGCTTGAAAAAGTTGGCAATCAAGCCCTTGTCAGCAAAGTTCCTTAAAGCTGCAACTACAAACAACATGCTCAAAATAATCCCTAAGCATCCTGGTCCTATGCTAACGAACCAAATCCAAATGGCATCAATTTTTTGGGGTTTCTTGATTGAACTCGACGTGAAAGATGGATAGGCATATGTTGATGGAAATGTGATTTCTCCAGTTAGAACTGCCTGGCTTGGCTGCCCAAAAACGAAAAAGCAATTGCTATAGAGAAAATGCACAAAGCAGTGCGAAGAAGCTTAAACATGGCTAGTTCTTCTTGCTCATGTAGATTAACTCTAGGTATTGAAAATCCTGCATGTGGGCTCAACAAAAGGCTTGCATCCAACCTAAAACCAATTGGCTATAGGTGGAGTAGCCTTCCTTGTATTTAACCCACAAGCTTCTTATTTTTATACTTCGATGTAGGATTTTCCCACTTAACACGCCCTCTCACGTGCAGGCCCACTATGAATGTTGGGTCCTGTCACGTGGGTTAACACGCCCCCTTAAATGCAGGCCCGGTATCAACTTCGAGTCCTGTCAGGTGGGCTAACAACGGGCTTCTCATGGTAGAACCTGGGCTCTGATACCATATTACAGATTTGAAATCAAAGTTTCTCTCTCAAGGTGAGAAGAGAAAGAGAGTTTCTTCTATTTATAGTTGCATTATACATAAAATAGCATGATTTAAGGTATGATTACAATATAAATTTGCAACGGCTATGTCTCCAACGGTTGCATTTTACAATTTCTTTGATTGCTGATTTTCCTCCAAAGCATTATTGCCATTTGATCTGTTTCCTTCTGCAGGTTCTACAATGCCATTTGATTTGTTTCCTTCTGCAGGTTCTACACATTGATCCTCACAAGTTGAGACTTTATTACTCCACCTCAAATTGGGCAGTGGCAGAGACACAAGACCCAATTTGCTGCGGAGTCGATGAAAGCTGTCTCGAGTCAATGGCTTTGTAAAGATGTCAGCTAACTGTGAGGTAGAACTGACAAACCGAGTAATAAGGTGACCAAGAGCAACTTTCTCTCCAACAAAATGATAATCAATTTCAACGTGTTTGGTGCGGCTATGAAAGACTAGATTGACTGTCATATAGATTGCACTCAACTTGTCACAATGAAGAATAGGGGCATTGTTAAGAGCCACTCCAATGTCACGAAGAAGGTGTGCAAGCCAAGTGATTTCAGCAGTTGTCGAAGCCATAGATCGATACTCTGCTTCGGCACTCGAATGAGCCACTGTAGGTTGTTTCTTTGCACACCATGAAATGCAATTGCTTCCCAAGAAGGTACAATAACCAGAGGTGGAACGACGGGTCAAAGAACACCCAGCCCAATCAGCATCTGAAAAGGCATACAAGTCCAAGGAACTTTGGTTAAGAATTTGTAAGCCATAATTGAGAGTCCCATGTACATACCTTAAGATCCACTTGACAGTTTGGTAATTTCCAATTGTAGGAGAATTCATGAACTGGCAAACATAATTGACTGCAAATGAGAGATCTGGTCGAGTAAATGTGAGGTATTGAAGTGCCCCAACAATACTCCTATAATGAGTTGGATCATGAAATGCATCATTGCTAGAATGTGAGGAACGTGCTTTAAGCGCCATAAGAGTGGAGATCAAGTTGCAACCCTCCATTTGAGCTCTGGATAGAATGTCTAGTGCATATTTGGATTGAGATAGAATCAAACCAAGGCTTGTGTAATGAACTTCTATGCCAAGAAAGAAATTGAGATGACCAAGATCTTTAATAGCAAATTCTTGACCAAGCTGAGAGATAAACAACTCAAGAAATTCAGAGTTATCTCCTGTTAAAATCATATCATCCACATAAATAAGGAGAAGTAAAGTCCCCCAATTTGAATGACAAATGAAAAGAAAGGGGTCTGCTGTGCTGCAAAAAAAAAAAAACCAATGTTAAAAAGGAATTTGCTAAGTCTATCAAACCAAGCATGTGGTGCTTGTTTCAACCCATATAAAGCACGTTTTAATCGACAAACATGAGTTGGGAATTTGGGATCCAAGAACCCAGGTGGTTGCTCCATACATACCGGCTCATTGAGATATCCATGTAGAAAAGCGTTCTTCACGTCCAGTTGTCGGATTTGACATTGTTTGGTTGTTGCAATTGCTAATATAGTACGAATGGTCCCAGCTTTCACCACAGGGGAAAATGTTTCAGACAAATCAACACCGGCTATTTGATGAAATCCTTTGGCAACAAGACGCGCCTTGAGGCGCTCTAGACTCCCATCAGCATGTAATTTTGTTTTGAACACCCATTTAGATCCAACCACATTCATATCTTTCGTACGAGGCAC